CCATCCTTACATCAAAATTCTCCTTATTCTTCTTCATTGATCCATGTTTGAAAATAAAAAAGAACCATTAAACCACCTTCCTATCTCTTGGATTACCACTGTAATCTATCCTCCATGGCACCTACTTCTCCATCAAACTCTATGGGTGAAGGTCCTACATCAGGTAACCAATATCCAATATCGGATCATCTTGTTTATGCTAAGCTGTCTTCTGCTCACATAACTTTTGCATTAGCTTTATCCACTGTGTTTGAGCCTCACACCTTTGAGGAGGCTTCCAAGTATCCTGATTGGTTTCTTGCTATGGATTTGGAATATAAAGATCTTGTTTCGAATCAGACGTGGGATGTTGTTAAGCTCCCTATAGATAAGAAGCCAGTGGGTTGAAAATGGGTGTATAAGGTTAAGCTCCATTCAGATGGTACTGAGGAAAGAAATAACACTCGTCTTGTTGCCAAAGGTTTTACCCAGCAATCAGGCTTAGACTATGAGGAGACTTTCTCCCCAGTAGCAAAGTTGGTGATAGTCAAAACTTTGTTGGCTGTTGCTGCTCAATTACAATGGGTGTTGCATCAGTTTGACATCAGTAACGCTTTTTTACATGGTGAATTACATGAAGAGGTCTACATGGCGATGCCTCCGGGGTATGAACAGCAGGGGGAGTGTGGTGAACGCCTTGTTTGCAAGTTAAATAAGTCAATATATGGGCTTAAACAAGCCTCTAGACAGTGGAACACTAAGTTGACCTCCTATATCCTGTCACAAGGTTTTCAGCAATCAAAGGCAGATTACTCTATGTTTAGCAAATGAAATGGCTGCTCTTTTACTATGATATTAGCCTATGTAGATGATATCATAATAGGTGGAAATGACTTATCCTATATCGATCAATTCAAGAAGGATTTAAATGGGAGGTTTAAGCTGAGGGACTTGGGGATTCTTAAGTATTTTCTTGGCCTTGAAATTGCTAGAACAACAGAAAGCATTTCGGTTTCCCAGAGAAAATATGCTCTGGACATTCTATCTGATACTGGTTATTTGGGTGCCAAACCAGCAACTATTCCTCTTCCACATAATCTGAAGCTGAGTAAAGATGAAGAAAATAATGTCTCAGATGCCAGTGAATATAGAAGACTAGTAGGAAGGCTACTCTATCTAACCATAACACAGCATGATCTTTCTTATGCTGTGCAATTGTTGAGCCAATTCTTGTAGTCACCAAAGCAGCCTCACATGGAAGCTGCACATCACGTTTTGAGATACTTGAAAGGATCACCAGGACAAGGTTTATTTTTTGAAAGTAAACCTGATCTTCAGCTCAAAGGTTACTGTGATGAAGACTGGGCTGCATGTTCCAACACTAGGCTATCCATTACGGGCTATTGTATCTTCTTGGGGAACTTATTAATATCTTGGAAATCCAAAAAGCAACATACGGTATCAAGATCCTCTGCTGAAGCAGAGTACAGGTCAATGGCAGCTGCTGTTTGTGAGTTGAGTTGGTTGAAGAATCTATTGATCGATTTAGGAGTAAAGCAGTCGAAGGCAGCCTTGCTATTTTGTGATAACCAGTCAGCAATCCATATATCAAGCAATCCCGTCTTCCATGAAAGGACGAAGCATATAAAGATTGATTGTCATTTGGTTAGAGACAAAGTTCAGGCAGGTGAAGTGAAAATGTTGTTTACCTCTTCTCAGAATCAAATTGCTGATCTCCTGACAAAGGCTATTGGTGGAACTAGATTTAAGTTGTTATTACACAAGATGGGACTATTGAATATATACTCCTCATCTTGAGGGGGAATGTTAAGCCCATTATTGTCTTGCCAAGCCCATTTTAGATTAGCCCATTTAGATAAAGGTTATTTATGTCATTATGGTTTTCCTTCTTCATGTTTTAGGCATGAGCTCCTTCTCCAGCTTCTATATAAGTAGGCCATTGCTGGTATCATTTTTGTATTGAATTTTGTTTAATCAATTGAATCTTCTCCCGCCTTTTATTTCATCCATTTTAGTTCTCTACAAATTATCAATACACTAACATTACCATAAAAATACCACAGCCCGTGCATTGCACGAGCATACGACTAGTAATAGTAATAAGAGACAAAATGAAAAATCTTATCAGTTTATGTAACAATAAATAGTTAGGTTAAACAAATGGGCTCCTCCTTTCTCTTTTTGTGTCCGAAGTTATAACTTCTAACCTAGTATATTTTACTGGTTAGTCTAAGGATCTCTACGTGACAAATGAAAAACTCAAACACCTAATACACAAACATAGGAATCAAGATAAGATGAGCCCATAACTTGAAAATTATTCAGTGTTAAAACCCAAAAGGGAGATTCGATCCAAAAACCTTGAGCAAATTTATCCGAATTGAATGGGATATTTGAGTTCAATGTGGTTGCATGTGAAATGTTTGTCAAGCCGTTCGACCTACGTTTAAGCATCAAAATTGTCGAAAATGGAACTATTCGTCAACGACCGGATATTTCAGTTCAGAGTGATTGCGTGAGAAATATTTGTCAAGCTTTTCGACCCACATTTAGAAGTCAAAATGGTCGGAAATGGAGGTACTCGTCTGTGACACTAGTTGGCTTTCAGATTTGGGATGAGAGAGAAAATAGCGAGTTTATGATTTAGGGGAGATGTTGAATGAGAGAGAGAAACGGGTTTCGTATTGGGTTTTCAACTTTTTTTTTTCAAAATTTTCAAGTATTGTTGTGAATTGATTGGTTGTCACATTTTTCACTTTTTGTACAACTTTTTGATGTTGTCAACTTAAGGACGTGTAGTGTATTTAAATTCTCTAGAGGGGCAAAAAATGTCCAAAAATAACAATCTTGCAAAGATTTTGAAAAAAAAATGACATTTTTTAAAATACGAAGCCAAAAATTTACATTCTCTTAAATATTTTTCAAGCAAAAAAAAAAAGATCAAAGCTGATATTTTTGCAAACATTTTTAAAAGGTGACATTTTTAAAAATGCCATGAGGTGCAATTTCCGCACGTTTATATAGATAACTATTAACATGTTGGTATCTTAATCTTAGTGTTCTAGAATTGGGTCCCAATTGCCGCCCTTCAAAAGCTACATTTACCGGCCCCTACTCGTCCGTGTTTGAGTCGCCGCCACGACTTTTGTATTTGATAGTTAGGTGTACAACTTTTTGAAATATCACTGATTTATCATCTTTCATAATTTGATCAATTAATTAAAGATTGTATTATATAATTATATTGTTCACGGTTCACACTTTTAGGAATTAACTTTTGCGATGTCTCACTTTGATTAGGAACCAATTTTTTGTGTCTACATAAAATAGGAATTGGTTTATTTTCTAAGTAGAAGAAGGTGTGAATTGTCATGTGTAATATATGAATTATATTAGAATCCCACATTATTTGGGAAAATATAAATGATCCACTTAATAAGGTGAGGGTAATCCTCTCCTAATAAGCCGATTTTATTAGGTGGAGTTAGGCCTAATATTCCTAACATGGTATCAGAGTTAGGCCCAATTATGCAATGTTGGGTGCCACCCAATATCGATTTGTTCACAATTGTTTGGCATGGTCCACGCTATGTGTGAGGGGGCGTATTAGAATCCCACATTGTTTGGAAAAATATAAATGATTCACTTAATAAGGTGAGAGCAATCATCTCCTAATAAATCGGTTTTATTAGGTGGAGTTAGGCCCAATATTCCTAACAAATTATTGTATTTTACTAGCTAAGAATAAAATTAGTTAGACATATCCTATAAATAAGAGACTCAAATTTATGTTATCTTTATCCCAGAAAATTTAAGATAGTTTTGAGGATTTTGTAACAATTTTCACATGGTAAATAAATATGTAATCTTTTAAAGCCCATGATTACTCTTCCGTTCTTAAGTTTTCTACACGAATTATCATATTCTTATTCACGTTATTGTAATTGTTATAGTTATATTTTATAAATTAAGGATGCAAATACCCAATAGTGTGTTAATTACTTCTATTTTTTTATAATTATTACTTGGTTGACAAGTCAACTATTATTAGCATATCATGCATGCACATCTGCATTCCAGAAAAGCACGAACATTTGGACGTGTTAGGCAAGTAATAGATATTATATAGAAAACTAATACTTTTTTGTTTTCTTTTCCTTTATTTATCCCTTAATTTTTTCTATAGTCAACGCATCAACAAAAACCAACATGTATATAGTGGTGGTTCATATTAAAAATTCTTAATATTGGGTTGTTTTGATACGTCAATTTTACCAATATATGTTTTAATGGTCTTATTTTTTTGTTTAAATATGTCAAAATTATCATAGTTCGATGATAAAATAATAAAACTAACACAAGAAGTGAAAATAATAAAACAATTTGATTGAGGCGTATTACCTTTTGTAAGAAGTTCCAAGTTCTATGAAGTTTTGATAGTTCACCATTCCATGTGATGGAAATTTCACATGTGGTAATTCAAATCAATCCGTACTATTTAATCACTCATTTCATGAGAGAACAATAACTTTTACCAACTTTTCAATAATAGATTTTATCAATTTTTATTAAAAGCTACTAAAAATATGATTTTTAACTATACCCAAGATTGAGACATATCACATACTTAAAAATTAAAATATAACAACATTTGTTGATGTCAATAGTGGTTCTTTCACCTTAATTGTTTATACTCATAAAAGATGTAAACTTTGGATCCAAATATAAGAACAATTACTTGTTACAATCAAGAATTGATGAGAATGGATATGTCTCTCTAATATCAAAATTGGCACAATGGGATCTTTCCGTGTCCCAACTTTTAGTCTTGATATCCATCTTCGTCTTGAACTTGTGGGATCCTGATCACTTGTGTATTGAGAAAGTGCAAACAAACTTTCACATCGACTAGGTGTTCTATTTCACATAATAGGTTAACATTTGAGACGGAACACAATTCCATATACAATGAAATTTTCAATCTCCTGGAATGCAAGTTGTTAGACTGCATCGGTGTGGTGGCCACCACCGCAACTCAACGCCCTGATCAGGCCCCATGCCCCCATTTCTCTGCTTGTCCTTGTACTTATAAGCTTCTCATCCCCTCTTTTAAATGTAAACTTTGGCGAAGATGTGTTGCTCTGGCGACGGCATTGCCTGTTCTTCATGTCCCTCAATTCCATCTCTGTTGAAAATCTTGTTATTCCAAACAATAACAAGTACCATCTAGCTTTCCCTGATGATGATGATGTTAATATCGACATTCTCTTCGATGATTCAGGCAATATTGCCCAGGACTTCTTTTCAATATTCTTCTCCATGGGAGGGCTTTTTGTACTATTTCTGCTGAATAATGAATTCAACTTCAGCCAGAAAAGGCCTATGCCTCGCATTTTCTTGTTTTCAACTAGCTTCGAATCTTTCGTGGCCGGGACCGCAGGATGTTTATAAGGAATTATTTTTCCACAGAAGATGATGTTTTCCAGCTGTAAAGGGGTGATGGAAGTAATCATTTCTTGACTGGAGAACTCGAAGTAATCTTGTTCCAATGATGACGTCGAATTCGAACCACCTTTTGACTCTGTGGACAAGTCCTCTTCCCAATCAGCACCACCACCATCAGTACTATACAATGGAAGATCGCACAAAGAAAGTGTTTCTTCTGCTTCATCTGTGTACTCCTTCATTCTTTTTGAGTGAACAAATGGGCCTAAACTATGACGACTAGAAATATAAGCGAATAATTGTTCTCGTCACCGGTTCTTCTCAAGTGATTCTTACACAAGCATTAAGAATACTAAGAGACTAAGAGGTAGTTTGATGTTTATATAAAGAGAGAATTGTTGTTAATCAATGGGAGGCAGGCAAATGTTGAAACTTCAAAAGTTTGGTTTAAGGATGATAGTTGATGGCTTTTCGGCCTTTTTCTCTAGAAAGTGTCAGCAATAGAAGAGTTTGATTCTCTTTTGGGTTTCTAGAAGAGCAGGCTGCAGGCCCACCATGTGCAAGGGAAGAAAATTAAAGAAAAAGAGTTAATGGGCACTAAACAAAATGTGTAACTTAAATCATTGATTTGGTTTAGCATTTGAAAAATCTTCTTGTATATAAATATTTACATAATATTTTACACAATGATTAGATGTCAACATGTAAGTGGGGAAGTTATTTGATTGATGAGATTTTGATGTAATTAAATCTCAACACATCATCTTTTGGTGCACTACAACAAAAATAGTCATTTGTAACAAATGTTGCCAAAAGACCTTTTGGCAACATTTTAGTAAGTGAATGTTGTTATTGGTATTAATAAATGAATTTTGGCAACGTTTTTTTTTAAAAATATTGCTGTAAACACCTTTAACAACGTTTATTGAGTGTTGCGGAATGTTTTACCTTCATCAACGTTTATCAAACGTTGCGAAAAGTCTCACATTTCGCAACGTTTGATAAATATTGCTAAAGGTAAGATTTTTCGCAATGTTCACCAATAGTTGCTAAAGGTGAGACTTTTCGAAACGTTTGATAAACGTTGCTGAACGTTGCGAAAAGTCTTACATTTAGCAACGTTTATCAAACATTGCAAATAATATTCTGGTTCATTTAAATGAATCTACCTAGGGAAGATTACATATTCAAGAGTATAAGTTTAGTCTATTTCAAAAATAAGAACACAAGTTTAAAGTTACCAAAATCAGATTTTTTTTAAACTTTTTTAAAATTTTTATTTATGAAATAATAAATTATTAAATTGATTTATTATTAAACAT